GTTAAATAAAAAGAAAAGGCTCCCATATACTTGGGAAAATTGAAAGTGAATATCAGTGGCAACACTGACGACAAAATGTCGAAATTTTATTTGTGAAAATTAAATATTTTTATTTTATAACCTAGCTATAATTTTATATTTATTGCCAAAAATGTTAATGATTTAAGTGTGAAACTTAATATTCTTTCGTATTATGTGTATTTGTGAAAGAGAATCGTATTTTATCTTCCGTTTTTCTTTGTTTTTGCGGAGCATTTTTTTGTACTTTCTTGGCGGGAGTTGAATGAGTAATGAAGTGAAGAACGAAAAAACTGTCTGTAACAACCTACTTCATATGAGCAACTTCCATCTAAAACCCCCCGTCCCATCAACCTTAATACTATCTTGTCTATTTCTAACATACCTATCTTTTTGCGTCTTGTAAGCATATTAAAAAATATAACAATACATTATAATCTACATGGCACTATCATATATTTATTGCGATATTTTTTATTTAATTTATTAGTACAATTTGTGACGTTGGCTTTGTGTTGTACTTTTAGAACAAGGGAGGAAGAAAACTTTTAATAACCGTTTCTCACTATCCCGCAAAATTTCTGTGTAAAACGGAAAAAGGTCATTTATGTGTATAAAAAAAGTTACTTTATGCTCGTTGGGCTCGTTCTCTCTCTCTGTGAAACTCCACTTGTTCCACTCTGAAATCTTCCAATATACCATTTATTAAATCTGACATATGATCTGCGGTTTGGAATGCAATATTATGATCAGCTAGAAAAGCAGCCAACTTGATTTCAGTCGCTGTGACAACTTTATTTTTCGACACAACTCCTTTAGTTACAAATGCTGACTTCAAATTACCCTGTTTAGTTTTGCTTGATAATGCAAACATGGCCTTTATATGCTTTTGCCTTGAAGAGTGTAGCTTTAAAACTCCATATTCTGAAACCATTTCGATGTTACAAACAGTGCACTTGGCTTTAAATTGGTTTTTACTGGGCCCTAACCAGTCCTTAAACAAATCCAATTTTTCCTAATGGGGACGATACTTCTGTGATCTGTGTTTGTCCCTCTCTGATGCAGAAAGCTCTCTTCTTTTAGATATTTTCTTTTTTGCAAGCTAAAGTGTATGCAGATCAAAAACGGTTTAATCACTACGTACAGCTCGATTCAATGAAAAAAAAAAAACAGGTTTTTGACAAGCCCAACACACTCCAACACAACTCACAACTTATTACTTTACAAGAGAAAAGTAATAAGTTTCATAACAATGCACACAAATGTACACTTTTTTGCATTTTAAAAAGGTCTTCTTTCAAGTAAAAGATCTAAGCATAAGTAACGTTGATAGGGAATTCCCCGAACATAAACCTGCCAGAGGAACACATTCGATCCTTTTCGAAATATTGCCAGGTGCAGGATAATCGTACTCTTTCCGTAGGATCGTACATGAGAAGAAATGCCAAAAAATCGTAGGAATACTCCTACGATTATGTTTTGATTATCGATTATAAAATGAGATGTAGATTTGTTTTGTGTGTCGTGTGTGCATGATTTGATTTTTCTTTTTGCTTAATAGAACGAACGAATTAATAGAAATAGAATCACTCTTCCATTTTGAAATATGATTTACTAAAGTTACATGATTATTTCAAAAAAATTCAATACTTATCCATTGAAGCAAATACTTGAAAATATTATTGTATTTGCCTTTATTGATAAATTTAGGCCCTAAGTATCTGTGTAATGCTGGGTCTTGGGAATGCCCAACTCATACAGTCATGTTGATTCAGTCAAACTTTTAGACAGTCGAAATACTGCATACAAATTTTGCAACGAGGAAGCATTTAAAAAAAAGCATTAGTTCCTGAAATCAAACAAGATGTCGCTACGGAACATTCTTGATTTCTCCATGACAATCCTTCCGATTTTCTTTCATGTATAAAAGTAAATTAATTTTCTTAACTCAATAAACAATTCATATTATATTTGTACTTTTTCGTATTTGTATTGATATCTAAGTTTTGAATTTAGCAAATTTCAGTTTTTTAATATGTTATATAATAGGTAAAAGGAGAATTTACTATCTTAGGTCCATTCGTTTCCTGCAAAAATCAACTTTTGGTAGAGCACCATCTCTTTCAGAGATGGTGCTCGTTTCAGATCCTCTTGTTGGTGATGGTTTCAGATCCTCTTTCAGAGTACGCAACGAACTGTCGAAGGCGGTGTTGAGTCAGTAGGAGTCTGACATAATCTCACAGCCGGCTATGTAGTATCCAACGTTGAGAGACGAAAAAATGAAATTTTTAGCTTAACGTTATGGGTGTGTACGTTAATTTTATATATTGGATCATACGGATCATTAACACCTGGTTGCCTATAAGCAGTTTGTTTCCTTTTGACCAGTCCTGTATCATCTGTATCAATTGCTGATCGTAACGAGTTTTTGAATTTTATATAAAATCATCCAACACCCACTATAATATATATTTTGTTTTACTTCTAATCCACCAATTAATATGAGTGTTCCCTGTGAGTTGACAGTTAATTCGCAACATTCTACAATACGGCTGATCAAAGGTCTGCCAACTTCCTTTGTTCAGCCGTATTGTAGAATGTTGCGTTCTTGGCTGATCGAAGGTCAGCCTGGTAATTTAATGGCGACATTCGATTAAAGAGCTAGCCGCACAATTGGTCGGTTTATTTATTATGTCACTTGTCATATTCATGAATATAATCAATATATCGCTTTATGTTTATGGGTACAAGTTATAACTAGAGAATTAGGCGGTCGCTATCTTGATTGGGGGATTACCACTGTGTATCGTCCGGTACGTGATCGCAACAACTTACATTACAACAACTTTCTGCCCCGATGCCGTCTGTTCTCACTTCATTACTAAATGTATTGTTTATTTCAATTACAAATAACCATGCTTTATGCATATGAAATTGTGCAAGATGTGGGTTTGTTTATTCTATGTGCTGATGCTGCCATCTGGGCTAGTTCAAAAGAAAAACTGACTTAGATAGACTTTAATTTTTGTAATTAAAGTCTGTCTCACGAAATAAGTATTGTGGCATAACTCTTTCCCCTTTGTGAAAACGAAGACTAAATCTTAACAACCTTTTCAGGATGTTTTCACGGAAACCGAACTTCCGTTTTGATACGTCCGTCATCATTAATGTTCAAAAAAAATTATCATGTGAATATTTTTTAATTTTAAAATCTATATGGAATCTGATATTGTAGCAAACTCTGATGTCTCCAATTTAAAATAAAGAAAATCAGTCACTTTTAGTTATTTTTGAATAACAATATTATGGATGTCTTAAACCAGAAGTTCAACCTCCACAGAAAGACCTTTCGCATATTTGTGTTATTGTAAATGTCAAATCTTCACTTGTTTTTAAACCTAATATGTTGGTAGTAAAGTTCAAAATCAATTATGGAAACCTGAAGCTACTATGTGTATAATAATATTTTTAAACTCACACGATTTGTATACATTATAATTATATGCAATCGGGTCTTGTTCGTGCATTTTTTTAAAACAATTATTTACCTCGACGTTTCGGCTACGTTACAGCAGCCGTGGTCACGAGGAGACTGGAGAACTGGCGGGTGTCGTCTTCTGATTTTAGTTGAGGGTAATCCGGTAATAATGTTTTTAACTGATTTTAGCCGAAACGTCGAGGTAAATAATTGTTTTAAAAAAATGCACGAACAAGACCCGATTGCATATAATTATAATACTATGTGTATGTTGCAAAATATTCCATTAATCAAAAACTAAAATAGTGAATGCATTATTAATTATACAAGTGCTATGGGGTAATACTGAAAGCAGAGAAATTCTGAAAATAACAAATTACCAACACTTATACTCCATTAATTACAGCATTAGACAGAAGTTAAATAAGGTTCTTTTAATGGTATACTTTGTGACAAAATGTCAATAATTATGTTACTCTTAAGACTAACGGCTAATTTGCTACATATCTACTTAAATACCAGCTGCTATACTTTAATGTTGTAATTTAAGCTATATATTAAACAAATTTATAAGTATTTGACTAACTTAAATGATTTAATAACTATTACAATAAAAAGTGTGCATCTTAAAGAACCTAAAGAAGCAGGGATGGATAGTTTCGGCACGATTCTCATGTCACTATAACTCTACCAAATTTAAAACGTTGCGTAATCCCTTCAAACGTTTCGGCAGTACAGATTTTAATTTTGTCAGCCTATGATGTATTCATAATTGTTAAACTACGTAATCTGGGATTGTCATCCATTGTGAGTGCTACTGCCTTTCTTGTTACTTTGCCGTTTTCCGTGATTAAGTTGTTATTGTTTTATTTTTGTTTAGTTATAGTTTTGTTTTTGTTTTTAAGTTAAGTTTTGTTAAATATGGACGATGTCGGTGCAGGGCCGAGTGGCCTAGTACAATTACGCTCTAAGCCCCCATACCTACCCTCAACCTTTGACATTTCAGGAAGTTTTCCAATGTCTTCATCAATAGTCTAACTAATGTCTGAATAAAAGTAATAATAAAAATTTCATTTTGTTTACCTTTCTTTCCTGGGTATAGATATAACTAAATTATCTTTTAATTATATACACTTACAATAAGAATTTATCAAAACAACAGATAGATAGTTTGAGTTCCATGTTGGCTTGAGAGTAAAAGATTAATTAAGATAATGCTGGCTTCATCTCAACCTCGAGGTATCGCAAATACGGAAAAATGCCCAGCTCTTTCAGACTACCTAACATTCAAGTTTCAACAAAACTATAATATATATATTTTAAATTTATCTTGAAAATAAAATGTTCTGCACTGCTGCTTCTATGACCCTCTTTTTTCTAATGTTATAATGAATGGAGTATAGGCTTTTTTTATCAACTGTTGATAAAGTTGACAAATAATCAAACTTTAATGTAATACATAAAAATCTTTTAATTAAATAGAAAAACATATTACTTGTCTAATGTAATAAGCCCAAAGCACCCTAACTATTTTTTTACCAAAGTCTGTCTTCTATTAATAAATTTTATATTACTTAAAATTCTACAGATAGAAAATGATTAGATGGTTAGAAAATCTATTTAAAGATTTATATATTTTATTACAATCTTCTAATCGGATGGTATTTTTGGTAGAAATTTATATTTACATTCCAAATTAATTTATAAGGGTAGTTAAGGCTGCCACCACATCACCTCTATGCTCTCTTAGTGTTCTTTCTGCTAATGTTCTAGATATTTCCATTTCTTTAACCTGGAAAGAAAGGATACAAATATAAATACTTTTATGCCTATCAAGACAGTTCCTGGAAATAAGGTGTTATGAATTTTCTTAAACTGAAAGAGTAGGTAAGGTAATAAGATTAAAATACATATTTCTATGATATAATACCATAAGCAGGATAATTCAGTTACCATATTTATTTCATATTTTGGTTATAACTATGTTCTCACCTTAACATTACTTGCACATGTTAATAACTCATAATCTACATTCAAAGTCTGCCCATGTATATTTGTACATTAAGCATTACATAAATAACTAAATAGTCATTCTGAGTACACTTTGTCCCTCCATGACTAGCTAAACAAAAAGTAAGGCTAGAACTGAGATAGGGCATTTAAAGGTGCCTCTTAGATATATAGGTAATAAGTGAGAGACTGGATACTTCACCTATGGGAAAATGGCCATTGTGTAAAAGGAATATCAATTTTGTAATTTTACTTGTTCTTTTTAATTATTGGCATTGGCCCTTGTGGATTTCAGTGGTTCTCTCAATTTTATTTATATTTCAATAATATTTTTGTATTTGTGTAATAAAGGCCCTTGTACTTTCGAATTTTGGTGGTTTCTGATTACAATTAACCAAAAAGAAATTCCAACTTAAAGAACTAAGGGAATCTGTGAAATAGTAGCTTGTAATTTGATTAAAAACTGACTTTAGATCAAGCATTGAAAGGTATTATATTTAGATATAAAAAATGTAATGTATGAAATTAAGGACTGGGGTAGCCCCATCCTCAAATTAATAAAATTGTCAATTAGCTCTATGATGCTTTAGTATAAATATTAATTTCAAACCAGATGAAATGGCACAAGAAAGTGTTTATATCATCCTTAAATTTTTACTGTAGCTTGGCCAATTATACTTTATAATATTTAGCTGCTTTTATAAATTGTTCCATTGTTTTGATTGATAGAAAAAAATGTTACTTCTTTTCCATAAATTTTGCCAGTAGACAGGTGTTTTATTATGTATTGAATAAAAAAAATCTTACTATTAGTTCAATATCATCCTTCTTGACTGAAACTTTTTGAAGTTCTTTTTCTTTTTCCATCCGTTCTGCTGCTTCCTTATTTCTACGATCACCAATTAGTGAGAGAGCCTGAAATAGGAATATAGGCGATCTAATAAGTAAACGTAAATAGTTAATGGTTTTCTTAACACAATAATAAAACAATTACAATTTTTGATTAAAATTACTTAAATTACTATAACAGTGCAATCAAGTCCTCACTATCAGGTGTTTACTTATGTTGAGTAGTAGGATAAGGTATCTAACGATGTTTTGTTAAAATCAATCATATTATCATAAAATAAAGTATTCCAGGCGACTTTTGAATTGAGAAATGACATCTTTTTTAAAAGTAACTACAAAAATATTTATAATTATTAATGTAACATACACCAGATATATCCTGAGATGAGATTTCTTTTTCTTCAGCATAATCAGTCACTTTCTCCAAGTCTGCTACCCCACTATCGTGTTTTGCGGTCTTCTTTAAAGTTTTGTCTTTATCATGCTGAACATCGTCTGTATCTCCATTTATTTCTTCATCCGCCATTATGTTTTGTTGTTTTATAAAATTCAAGCAATATTATAATCTAGGTCAAGTGATTTTAATGTAAATACACCAAATTGAAATTACAATTTGGATATAACCTACAATTTTATCTCTTTTTCAAAAATAAAGCAAATAATGTACGCAATTCATTTCTTTACCAAAGATCACAGATCACCAAAGACACAGACCAATATTACGTATAAAGAGAATTTCTTAGTGATGCGACTCGAGTCCAATTTTTTCTCGAGTCACTTGAGTGATTTATTTAAACTCGTACTTGAGTAAAAAAGGATATCATCGCCATCTTTCATTCATTTCATTTTCATTTTACATGTAGAAATTTATTTATTCACTTGACATTGGCAGAATTGTGCGAAATGCGCAGATAAGCCATTAATAAAGGAAGAAGAAGAAGAGTTAAAAAAAAATCATTCGAGTCTCTATGCACTCGAGTTATTGGTTCATCTCAGCGAGTTGATTCTCTTGCCACTAGATGTCACTTCACTCCTCTAATTTTTAATAACCGTTTTTTTATTTTCTAGATTGCTACTTTGTCTGCAAATGTAGATTTAAACGTTTTTAACAGACACTTCTTTCTTCCACCTTCTACTATCGATGGTGTCCTAAAGGACTCTACGCTCACAGAACTTTCACTGGTTGCGAGGCCAGACTGCACAACTTTTGTTTTTTCAAAAAATATCAAAAACTGACGTTAGAAATGCCATTTAGGCGATTTCTTCCAAAACTGCTGGCGAGGACAACCTATATGTAAGAATATTTACCCCTATTTTATCATTTCTCCTTCCTATTTTTGTCATACTTAACTTCTCACTTGAATCCGGTTCTTTTCCCAGGAAGAAGGCGCACATTACTCTACTACTACGTAACAGCTTAGACTAAATTAATTTTGATATTTATATAATTCGACGTATACACGCCTTAATGGCACATATGGAAATACTGCATATAAAAAAAGCTGAATTCTGCGCTCCGCTTTTTGTTCTTGATTCAAAACCTAAATTAGGATAAATGGTGTCAATTAAAGTTACGAGTAACCAATAAGTTAGCTCATCACTAATGTTGACATATTAACCAAACATCGTTCCTTTACACGTAACGTAATAAATAACTTAAACTTACGATTCAAATAAATTAAAATTGATTTGAAAGTAAGATATTAAAAGAAATACGAAACGATGTTATATTTATTAATTTTTGATACTTAATTTACTTTTACTAGGTAAGAAACAAAATTTGAATGAAAATCATAGACAATATTGAATCATCTCTAGTGACATCTAGTCTGATTTCAAGAACTCATTTTTATTTTTAAATTCTTCTCATTGTGTTCAAAAAGAACGAGTACAGACCGAATATTACTAAGCACCTCACTATGAAACCTAGACTCACGATGTAACTTTCTACAAGCGCTCTAAAGATCAAAAAATAAATATTTTCTTATTATTTTTTTGGAAAATTATTAAAAAAAAGAGGTAATATTCTAAATCTTTCCATATATGTGTCGCCGTGCAAGGTTATATCGATTAACTTAAAAAACTGTCAAATCAGTAACTTTTATTGATTTGCCGTACTTTCAAACCGACACACGATGGCAAACTCCAATGTGTATACAAATTTTGCACATATTCACAAATGCCTCTACCACTCTTGGCGTCTTTGTAGGTATTTACATAGTTGAGCACATATCTGGCACGGGCTTCTCAGTAATACGAAATTAAACAAGAATAGATCAAGTTACGTTATATTCGCTGGGTGCGGAGGTAGGTAATGGGGGAATCATGAAACGATTGCAGCGCGCACCGTGGCGGTTTCAAATTCAAATTCACTCAGGTGTCTTAAAAAACGTTCCGTTCAATTTTGAAATGGTAATCAATCAATTTTGTTTTGTATTTTTATACAAAACATGGATTCAATAGAATATCTTCACTCATCATCATCATCATCATCAGCCCTTTTGTGTCCACACTGCAGGGGCTCAGGCCTTCCTTATGGATGGTTAAGGAGAATGGGCCATGACCCTCCACGCTGGCCCAATGCGGATTGGAGGGTATTAACGACTGCAAATGCAGCCGGGACCAACAGCTTAACGTGCCTTCTGAAGCACGGAGTAGCTCGAGATAATATTTTTTTTGGGTCACCCATCCTGTGACCGACCCTTGCGAAAGTTGCTTAACGACAAAGATCGCGGGCCTCGGCGCTTATCCACTACGCCACTGAGCTTCGCTAAGAATATCTTCACTAAATGAGGTGAATTCGGATATATGAGTGAATTCGCGTTCGGGTTCGTATACATTTTAATCTAATTTAATCTTTTTACATTTTAAGGATTTATGATCCATTGTGGTATTTCCATCATCAAAATATCTTCAAAATTGTTTTTGAAATCATCATGCAGCGCATTTAAATGTTGATCGTATGTCTGAATATCTTCATTCAAACTGTTGTATGTGACAAGTTTGGAAACTGAGAATTCACGCCGACTAATATTTTGCTTCATAAATTTCAATTTTCCATGAAAAGCCGAAATTACACTCTTTATTGTTAATTAATTGAGTCTAACCCCTTCTAACTGCAAGTTAATGTCATTAATTTTTTTGAACAAGTCAGTCAAATACGCGATGTCTGCTTTCTATTTGATCAAGTTTTCTTTTAAATCTGGATCTTTACTTTTGAGAAACTCTAAAAAAGTCAGTAAAATCTTGTTAAACACGCTCCTTTTGACAACTAGCGTATTTCAGTATGTAAAAGCAATCGTTGGAAGTCTTCATCATTTTCATCGCACAATTGGGCAAATAAACGAGTATTCGACGCACTGATTTTTATTTTATATTAAGCTTTAATCACAAGTTGGAGCGATTGATGCAATAGATTGCATCAATCGCATTCAAATTTTTCACTCAAATTTTTTTCACCGAATCGCGGTTTCTCCTGGTATTATTCTTTTAAGATGGCTTATAAACCCACGATAACATCCAACCATGGCAGGAGCTCCATCTGTTGTCACCAAAATTATGTTTGTAAATGGAATCGATTTTTCCTGAAAAAAAAATCACCTTGTAGCTTAAATATTGATTCGCCTTTAGTGTCCATCTCTAAAGTTTTCGCGAATAGCAGCTCTTCATGGATTTCTTCGTCCATAATAAATCGAACATACGCCAATAATAATGCTTCATTACCAAGTAAAGTTGACTCGTCTAGTTGAATAGATAAATAAGTTGTTTGTAAATAATTACACGAGAAACTTTCAATATCAGTGCTCATTTTATCAATACGTCTTTGTACAGTGTTGTTACTTAAAGGAATTCTTTTAAGTACGTCACGTGAAGGCATGTGCAGAGCAATTTTTAAAACCTCTTCAACAGCGGTTAAAATTAACTGTTCTTCGATGGTGTGTGGTTTCCCAGATTTCGCAATAAGCAATGAGATATTGTAAGATGCCCACAAGCCATCATCGTTACGTTAAGACATTCAAGCGAACATACTCGAGCCCATTATAAAAAAAATGTATTTCAAAAATCGGTCAACAATTAGCAGAAAAATTGGTTAACATAAATAAAATAAACATACATATCCGTCAAACATAGAACCTCCTCCTTTTTGATTTCGGAGTCGGTTAAAAATGTTTCGTGTAATCAAATAAACAGAAAGTTCAAATAAACAAAGATAAAACAATATAAAAACTTTATATCAATCAATATTTTCGTGAGCCTATTGCTAAGATAATTACTAAAAAACATGTACGTACATATATTATAGTCCACTCAAAATAAATTATTATAATAGTAAAATATTCCTACCACGGGAACAATTGTTGGTAAAGCGTCTGATCTTAATAATCGTCTCGAATTAGCAATACAAAAACTCGACGGTTCAAAAAGACAACAGTATATAACCGAGTGCTTGGTGATATTCTGTTTTACTTGTATATTGACGAGCCATTTCTGTTGCTTGTCTTCATTTTTCGGAATGCTGTGAATAACAATAATTTGCTTTGACCACTATTATTATACCTATAAACATGCGTTTACCAATTTTGAAATAACTGGGGAAATTTCTTCGCATATATATATTATACCTAAAGTCCGAATCCTGTCAAGTCCAGGTGTCTTATTAATATTCTTTGTATTTATAGTTTTAAGCATGTCTTTGGGCGTCGCTTTTTGAAAATTCATATATACACACGTGGGATATGTATATTCCGCTTTATCTAAAATATAATTTCTATATCGGGAAATACATATTTAACACTACTTTGAAATGAATCAGCAAAGTTATTAGCGAAAGTATATTTTTTTTTATTTGTATCTCCAAAAGCATCAAGCAGAACAGTATCTACCGCTTTACGCACCCTACCTGTTATTTTATTAAGAATAAACCAGACTTGTTACAAATTATTTTTATATTGATTAATTAGGTTTAAAAGTATATTTATTTTTCGATGACTTTATTAGCTTACTTGAATAATTACGCGCTTTTATATATTAAATTACCAGTATCTCTTAAGCATTGGTAAAAAAGCTTATCCCTATACTCGCATGTCTTTTTCACTTTTTCTTGCTCTGATGACTCCTTTCTTGCACCACACGAATTTGAATAATCCGCAATTTTTGAGTTGACGTCTCGCGATCCCCAGTAAATTTCTGTTAAAACTGTCAACGGCCCAATCGCATATATTTTTTCATCGGCAACCTGCTGTGATACATTTGGCAGAATGTCATAAACTGTTATCTTCGTTTTCTTTGCCTTCTCAAGCCAGTTAGACTGTGCATTTTCTGACGGTAGTATAACACGTAATTTTTCGTTCCTTATCTTGTTTCCGCCTATTCGTTTTACTTCCACGATGCTTTCAGTTATTTTCAATATCTGTTTTAGTTTTTGTATAATATTTTGAAGGTCTTCTTTTTCGAAATAGGGTTAGTTAAAAACATCGATACAGTTAGAAACCTGTTGTTGCTTTTGTTCATGTAATCGTTGTTCCAACGCACAAACTCTCATTTCAGATAATATAGTGTTTATTCTTATCATTTGCTTTATTGTAGTCTTGAACGATTCCATTATTTGTCAGGATGATGTCATCAAGCTTTTTAGTATGAAATTTTAGCCATTCGACGAATTGGTTCAAAAGACGATGAATGATGTTTTTCACCTTACTTGGTATTTCCGTGAGTAGTTTTTTTCCATCTATTGGAATAGCGGCTGCTGACAACGGTGAACCGAATAAAAGCTCGTCTTCTTCTTCGTCGGGTATGATAGATTAATTAATTAAAACAGAAATCTGTCTGGATGAAGAGTTTTTGCATTCTGGGCATGCCCAGTCTAAGCTCTCGTTAGCACGAAGGGTATTTCTTTGCTTACTCGAAAGCCCGATGCACCAGTACGGGTTTTGGCAATATTTGTGTCACACTTTTCACATCTCACCATTATGACGGTATATTTTTGAATAGACATAGATTTCTCGATCGATATATATTAAAAAATATATAAAATGCTGGATATTTTTTATTGTAGGTATTAAGTATTATTGTATTGTATTACATATTAGAGATTAGCTAGATTATGATACCTAGATTAAATTTCATCACAGTTAAATTTATACTTAATTACTTAAAGTCAAAGAACCCGCCTTACAATTTTTTACATGTGTACAGATGCGTTTTGGTTGTTTTCGTTTTTTATAACTTCTGTATACGGCGGTGGTGGAATACTGCAATCAGGAATCTGCAAATAAAGTTAGTTGAGTATAGGTACATTATTAGATAGAAATATGTAATTAACTACCTATAAATAGAAGATGATACCTATCAATTGTATATTTATATCTTTAACGACAGTTCTAACTTAACCCTAACAAAGCGTTGTTTACAACACGTGTGGGGCATTCCACCCTTTTTTCACTCCTACATTCCATTTCAGTTTTGCCGAAGGCACTAAACCAAAAATTACATTAGAGTTAACCGCATGTCGTGTAAAAGTCATAGAGCGTCAACAATATAATATTTTTGTTATTTGTGGGTTTGATTCAAGGTCAATGTAGAAAATAAACTTTTCTGTATTGTCTTAACTGGGGTATCTACTTATTTCATAATTCTATAATACAAGTGCTTTACCTAGTTAATTTGTGATAATTTTTATTTATTGCTTTGCCTTTCGATTAGCAAATAAAGTTGACCTGTCAGGAAGCCTCGATGAAAGGCAAAATCAGTATAGATTTAGTTCGTAATTAATGGCGGAAGCAGCGGCGGCTCAATGAAACTTGGCGCCCATAATCACAATAAAATAAAGATTAATCTAGGTACACTGAAGAATTTAATTCTGTTAATTATAAGAGAAACTCTTTAACTACTGCTAGTATTATAATTTTGTACATGGACTCATGTTTAAAGAATTTTAAGGTTCTGCATTTTTAAGGTTCAAATAATTCGTGCAAACATAGATTATGCCATGACATGCCTCCTCCAAATACGAGCGCCCTAGGCGGTTGCTTAGTTTAACAAAAGGCCAGAATGTCAGGGAGGCTAATTTTACTTTCAACTTTTATTTCGTATCTTACGATTATAACTGATCCTAAATTATTACATATGTGTGCTTTTTCAGCATAATCAGTTCGGATGATTTATCGTTTTGTAGATAATTAATAGGTAACATAGTAATGAAGCTTTAAAAATATTTACAAAACATTCATTGGTGAACGCCCCTGGAGAAATTGAAGCAGTAGTTGTATTATTTTGTGATGTCCCTGAATATCTGAAATAATAAAAAGACAATGAATCGTGTGGCATCAAATGACAGGACTTGTTGTAAGACTCTGAAAATCACATTATTAATAATTTATTTGATAAATTGGGTAATAATTGTTACACCTAACTACGAGTATAAAGGCCTAAAAAGGTTACACTAATTAAAAAGTGCTATTTTGTGTAAAAAATATAATAAAAGTAACTATATACAATTATAAAAAAAATAATAATATACTTAAAAAAAAAGTATTATATAATAATTAAGTACTGAATCTAGTCTGAGTGTCGTTAGGCAGATTCTTTTTCTGTTTCGTTAGTCATCATCTAAAAGTGTAAAGAGTATGGCACGATAATGTCCTTGGAGGTAGAACAGGAGGTGCAGGATATGGAAGGGAACAGCATAACAAGAACAGATGGGAAATAGAGCAGGGAACAGCGGCAAGTGTCGAGGAACAAAGTAAAGTAAATCAGTCTTTATATGTACGTCTTCAAGCCCAGAACTTGCTCGTTGGAAATTCCATATAGGCGACGTGAGGAAGGTGATTAGTTATCACCTTGAAAGTTTGTTGTCGCCATCAGATTTGTAGTTAAGACGTAACGTGCAATTATATTATATAGTTAACAACATGAGGCAGTCAAGGTCTACGGTAGCATAAATCTTTTATTTGATTTGATTTTGATTTGATTTGATTATTAACAACACACTAATACAAAACTATGAACATTACATTTTTATTTAGAAAATATAGCAATTCACTTTTTCTTGTCGGAGTTTCTTTCGCCAGTTCTTTTCAGACAAGATTCCCAAAGTGGAACTGGCAGTGTAAATAAATAAGTCAAATGTATTTTTAAAATAATTTATTAAATGTAAACGTGAAAAAAATGTATTGTGAATGCTATACTTTTAATTAAAAATGACAATCAAACCGTTTAAAAGTTGTTTCATTTATGGATATTGCGCGTGAAAATAAGGAATAAGAATATAATAAACGTGAAAATAATAAATAAGGAATCAATAAATATGCTTTTTCTGTGAATTAGGTGTACTTAATAAATTATTTTTCTATGCAGCAATCAACATCATTGTACGAAGACGATCGCTGAGCAGACAATGAAAAAAAAAGAATTGATCTGTTTTGAAAATTCGCGCGGTTCGGTGGGAGTGCGGAGCAAGACCTACTATATAGATTTCATATTTTCTTTTTACGGCAGAGCGTTTTGAAACTGCAACTTTTTTATAACGTATTGTTTTTACTGTGTTTTATACTTATATATTTTTAGTATGTTTTTTATTTTATATTTGTATTTATATACTTAATATTTGTATGTAAGAGTTTATAAGTAAGTACTGTCATAGTGTACGTGACAAAAGAGGAAACAATTGTTTGTTTTTGCATTAAATAGGCTCCGAAATTATTGGACCGATTTAAATCATCAAACCGCGGGTGACATAAGCTATAAATCACGCGAGCGAAGGCGCGGGAAAACACCTAGTAACTATCTAAAATAAATAAAAAGTAACTTTTATCCTACTCCGTGGTTCCACTCTTCCTTAAGGCGTATAGCACAAAGAGATAAGGGTATAGCATCATATAGCATACGCATATGTTACCTGTCTCTTTAGATCTCTACTCTTATCTTTGATTCGATTCAATTTCATTAAAAAAACCGAGCTAGTGCGAGTCGGACTAATGCACGAAAGGTTCTGTACCATTTTTAATGAAATCAAAGTAAAAAAATCACGTTTGTTGTTTCCTATGGAGTTGTTAGAAATTATCGAGTGAAATACAATTGGTCGACTATTACTCGTAAATTTGTGAAGCCAAATTAAGTATGATAGTTTTCCTTTTAACTTCGTTATATATAGGTACTATTTCCGTAACGATTGAATTTTTATCAACCTCCGTTTAGTTGGTAGGGATGGGGACACTTGACTCTAGCGATAATTAGCTCTTCATAGCCTAAAAGTGACAAACGGTTTACTAAATCGAAAAATGGCCTTTCCACATCCACAGTGTTTTTGAAAGACCTATCCAAAATAATGGAGAAGATAAAAAAAAAATATCTCCACTCTACATGTAGCGGAGATACATAATTTTTTTTTTTCTCATGCAAAATTACAACTTTCTATTACCAATACTTTTTGAGCTAAACCGCAAACGGACAGACGGATGGACATGGCGAAACAAGGTTTTCTTTTTTACTATGGATCCGTAAAAAGCTTTAATTAATTATATAACAAACCTAGGTGGAGCGTCTCGTAGTCTTTCTTCGACGTACATGTGTAAACTTCCAACTGACAGTCTGTCACTGTCAGACCTTCTAGAAGTGCCCAGTAACCTGTAAATACATCATCAGCTCTTATAATTTTGCTAAAATCATATTCCTGAAGATCTGTGCATCAGAGGCAGTGTCACCTCCGTTGTATATATCGCTTACTGAATAGTACAGTGGCATAACTCAAAAACCATTATTTCGAGAAAACCCCACGTTATTGTGGTGACATCCCATAGATAATTTAAAGAAAAAATAAAAAACTTAACAGTAATAATATAATACAGACGATTAACTGTTATGCTTACCGTTACAACCGTAACCGTTATACAAATATATTAGATTTTCATAACTTCGGAGAGCGTTTCTCAAAATTATAGTTTTTGAGTTGTGCCACTGTACTATTCAGTGAGCGATATTATCGATAATGCGTTATTTTTGGAGTCGTATAATATTTCGAAATTAGACGATATTTCTTCTTCGAATAAATAAATAGGCCTTTAGGTGTCATGTTAATTCGTACTTTTTATAAATTTGTTGCCTCATCACTGGCGCCATAGACCCGAAACTACAAATTGGAACTAGTTGACAGCAATTATTCTTATCCAGTGACTTATAAATTATTACAAATTCATTAGAGTATTTATATAACGTAACTAAAACTGCTAATTGGAGGTACGTATTTTGTTAAAACTCTTACCTTAATCTGGAAACTGTACACAATTTTAACAGTAACATAAATGTAGCTATGATTCCAAGGACGAGAGCGATTCCCATAACCAACTGGGTGGTGGTGATTAACAATGCTTGGTCTACACTGTCCCTAGAAGAATATTTTTGTTTAATATTGCAAATATATATGTCATATCATATGCCTTGAGAAGGGCATATGACCTGGTTTTGGTCATTTTAAGGTTATATCATTTAAGTACGAGTTACTTATGAGTGACGAGGAAATGAACGTTTGAGTTTTGCTATCATGCAAAATTAAAAAGCCGTTCACGGCGATTACCCTAATATATTTGCATATGCTTTAGTTAGAATGCCTTGAAGTGCCAATTGTTCAAATAGTTGGCAATGGCCAACACCAGGTCGTAAGTTCTAATATTTATTTATTTATAAAACTTGACCTGTAAAGTAATTGTACGCGGCGAACAAGGCGAACTTAATGCTAATGGCATAATTAATATGATACAGGTTTATAATACGAGTGTATAAGGTTGTAAACTGCAATACCCTAAGGAGAGGAGCTGTAGCGGAGACGCTACTCGCATTGTTTATAACTATGACCAAAAGTCAATTCCGCGACAAAGTACTTGCATCGTCAACACTGTTCTTTGAACATTGTGTTATTTAGTGTCCGAAGTTACGTGAAATTTATCCAGAGTATTCACTTATTTTATTTAAATCAAAGACGCATTATGAAGAAGTTTTATGACTTTCGCGTGTCTATGTAAGAAAAAGTGAAAATCGGCTGATCTTCTCCCTTCGTTTTGTTTGACACATTTGTGATCTATCATATTTCTCAAATGCCTAGTACGCATATCATAACTGTAGACATTACTTTATGTCCATATGTGGTTCTTAGTCATTGGTGAAATGTATTTTCATTAAAGGCGGTTCCTATATATATTAGGCGACTCCTAAGTTTAGTGAAAACGTTCATAAGACATGGTTAACCCCCTAAATCATCTGAATGAATAAGTTGATGGTGCCTAGTGGATGTCGGTTTAAAAGTCGCGCCTCACTCCTAGACCTTTTAGACTCACTTGAACTATTTACATACTGTCGCAATATTTACTGTGTTAGAGTTATCACTATTGCCAAATTTGTAACCTCAACTCCGCTTCTCAATGTTTTCCATGTTGTAGTCTAAGAATAGGATTACATTTACCTGCAACTCCAATTCCCGTTGGCGTCAGAGCATGGCTGGCAAATTCCGTGCCAACATTGGAGGCTAGTGTTACTCAAGGAGTTACAGCACGTGCCGAAACATTTCTGTCCCAGTTCTAAAATGTGGATATAATTTACTAAATATTTACAGTTATGAATCTAGCTAAGCTATAAGAACGTTTTATTGATTTTACAATAAATATGTTAATATTATTTTACAACGATACTGTTTTTTTATATATATAATCAAACGTTTTGGTTTATACTTTAATGAAAAATGCTTAAGAAATTCACTTTGTCCCTGGTACTCTGAGATGACCAGGGATAAAGATTTTTCATTGAGAATATTTTTCAGTATAGCTTTTGAGAGTGCAAAATTGATCAAATTGATAATAATTTAGGTTTATTTTTGTTTTCATTCAAATAGGTTTTTTCTCAATTAGATTCTTTTTAAACACTATTTGATTAAATCGAAGACAAACTCAACATAAACTGAACTATATACCCATTAAAAACATTGACTTGAAAAAGTTTATAAAAATACAACATTATAAAAAAAGAATATCTACATATTCATTGATAAAATCTATAAAACATTTTGATAGCTATACTATGGCTATTTGAGTCATAGCCAAAGAGTTAAGTTGGCGCATCTCTGCTCCATGATGGAATAGACTACTAATAGATATTATCACTTATACTCAGTACGATTTGGTGGTTTTAAGTGATTGTTGATACAGCGATAATCCCTATACATGACGTTCAACTGATAAATACGTCAAGATAATGGCAGAATTATTTACCTGGACATTTAATGCACTCAGTTTGGAAATAATCCTGAATGAATCCGTCGGCACAATAACATTTTCCTTCAAGGCATTTGTATTCTTCACCTTGACAATTTGTAGGACATGGTCCTGCAAAAACACCAGGTGACGTATTGTTTACATGCATTAAATATCTTATTATGTTGGCAATCGTAAAAATAGGATTAAATCTCGTGGTGATTACAGAACCATTAGCCTAATGAGCCATCTATCGAAGATCTTTCTGAAGATTATATACCGAGATGAGTGTACCGGAAATGTGGAGAAGGTCTAAGCTCTTATTTCGGGTTGCATGCAGGCATAACAAGATCTGCTGAATTGCGTTAATATTGCTAGTAACAACATGGGTAAACGTTGCGAAAACAAAGTACATGGTCATTTCTAAAGGGACAGCTTATTAATTGATAACCAGCACGTGGAAACAGTCACCAAATATAAATACTTGGGCACTTGGTTGAGTGTAGATGCAATTTACTTGCAAGATGTTAAAATTCCTATAGAGATGGCCGAAAGAGCATTTTTCAGAATGAGTAAAGTCCTGTACAATAGGAATCTAAGTCTCGGGACTCCAGATGAGTTTAGTTCGATGTTACATTTTTTCAGTGTTGTTGTATAGGGACGAGTTAGGGACACGAACACAAAGTGCGCTTAACAAACTTGAGGCCTTCGAAATGTGGGTATACCGTCGCATTCTGAAAATGTCGTGGCGTAATAAGGTGACCAACGTAACAGTACTTCAGGGGATCGGCAAAGATCTCGAGCTTATTAACACTATCAAGTACCGCAAACTTTCTTATTTTGGCCACATTAGAAGACTTGCTCGTTTAAATGCATTAGATAATACCCATTTATTAATGGAAAAATGGTTTTATTAGTACAACCGATACTTTTGTAGGTTGTGTCAAAAGGCATTGAAAAAGTTATTGCTTCATGATCTAGGTAACTTAATTTAAGGATAAAACTTACGGTATAGTAGTACTCTAGTAAAATATCTAATCTCCTTATATTATAATAAGTTATTGTTAGCAATCCTATTATACAAACCAGACTTTAAGTTTTAAATCGCTAAAGTCTTTATATTTGAGACAATGAAGGTACTACAATATCCAGATTAGAAATAATATAGAAGATTTATTTTATTATGAATAAAAAAAATGAATTATTTGTATTATCATTTATTAAAAACATTTTATACTTTGATTAGAATCCTGGCTTAGACTTTACCAGTCACAACTTAATAAAATAATAACAAATCTTAACTGATAAGTTCATTATGGTAATCCAATCCTTAAAACAATCTTTTAAGCTTATACATATCTTGATAAATTTAGTACCTAAACACAGACATCGATAATGTGGTTTGAAAAATAGAAGTAATATATTAATATATTTTCACTTCGCTATTCGTAATTAGCTTAATAAATCTAAGTAGGTACGTAGTTTTAGTAGTGAAAAGTTATGACAGAAATCTATAAATGTAAAGGAAAACCTGACTGACTTATACATCAACGCACAGCCGAAACTATTCTACCTAGAAACTTAAATTTGGTACAGGGGTTTCTTTCATAATTTAAGTGAGCACAAAGAAAGGATTTTTGAAATTAAACCCCTAAGGGGTTGAAATTGGGTGGTGAAGTTTATATAGAATTTTGGCATTTCTGGACTTCGCTAACTAAAATACACGCGAACAGAATCGCGAGCAAAAATTAGTTAATAATCAATAAAGTTATTTGGCGTCAATTGTTGTTTGACGTCAAATTACTTTATTTTGCTTAGAAATGCACATTAAGCCGTTGGTCCTAGCTGCATCAGTAGTCGTTAACACCCCCGCGTGGTAATGACCCATTGATCTTATTCGATTCGACTGCATCCATAGGAAAGAAAGAATTATAGTAATAAGTAAATAGACATCTCCGTATGAAATAAAACAGGGAGAAAAAAGCAGTCCTTGCTGAGCTTCTTGCTCTCCGGTTCTCTTCAGTATAAGGTCTCCCGTCTCAGATTTAACAAACGATGGCATAGAGTTTCGACTTGTACAAGTGCTTGTATTAGCCTAGGCGGCATAAATGATTTTGATTTGTAATAATTTAGACCAACTTCCCCCATTACATGAGCAAGATAAATTATAAAATATAGGTTACTTACTTTCCTTTAGAGTTAAATCTACCATGAGTTTGCCAGGTGCAAACATGTGTACAGGTTTATGCGTTCATTTTTATTAGATTTCTTTTTATAAAACTAATGACAGCTTATTTTATTCCTCACCTACGTATCGGGTTGCCTTTTCATAAATGTAGTATATAAAAAAGAAATCAAAATATGTTCTTTTGACTTTTTAAAAGTGAAATTGTGTCGTTTATATTATTTAATTAATATAGTTTTTATTTTATCTATACTAATATTAATATAAGTAATATCTGATTGTTTGCCTTGAAAAAACTCCGAAACTGCTGAACCAATTTTAAAAAGAAGTTAAACATACGTGAGTGTGCATATAAATAAGTAAGGTGGTAATGTCTCGTGAAATCAACTAGTATTTATATAAAAATAAAACCACTGGTAAGTTTTAGACAACACTTTTATGAGACCATCTAGAAAGTATATAAAAAAGTACGTTTCTAAAGAAAACTCACCTGTTTCTTCTTTTGCTTTCCCCGCAACTATCACGACAAATAGAAATAGAGTTGACCAATTAACCATCGTTATTTTAGAAACTCATAAATTTTTACATACACCGGTACTTAATAAAAAAAAAAAACTAAAAAGTCTGCATAGACTACATTTCCTATTTAAATTCTTCATTAGTGTTGACTACGATCACAGACAAGCTACGATTTACATGAAATATGGAGGCAGATAAGTTATCAGTGACTCCTGTGTTACGATATGACGTTATCATTAACATGTGACAATCACTGATGCGCAAGTATTATTTGCTAAAAATAAAGTTAATTAATTTTCTTTTCTATACTAACATTATAAGAGGAAACATTTGATTCGTTGTTTGCATCGAAAAGCTCAGACCAATTGGGTCCTGGGTAGCTCAGTGGTTAGAGCATTCGCCCGTATTGCGCAAGGTCACGTGTTCGAGTCCTATCTCTGAGTGCCAGACCAAAGTAGATTTTTTAAGCATTTTCCATTAAGAATATTTTTCATTATAGCATTGTAAATGCAAACTTGATCAAATATAATAATCTTTATTTGTTTATCGATAAATTATTAAGCCATATAACTCTTATGAAAGGATATTTTACCCAAATGTGTTATAGCAATAATAATCATATTATCAGAATGTTCGGGCACAAACATTGTTTTGATTTTATTAGTAGAGATACATATTGGTATATTTGTTTTTGGCATTGACATAACGTATGTATTTGTGGAGAATATTGTTTGACTTTAGTTAAAATCATATTCGAATACTTTATCTACGCATCAGATCTAGGTTCTATTCCCGTTACATCATTAGGCGTTTTTAAGACGAAGCGTAAAGCTCCTAGTTGTTCCTGTCTATCCAATAACGCCCAGCAATGAGATTGTTAGGGACAGAGAATGGCAAATTGCGCGGCAAAAATTATATTTAATGAATAACTCGTAAACTATTACTGTTATCGTATCTTAAAATCATATCAGTATATTGCAGTCCATTGCTGGGCGTAGGTTTCCCTCCAGTGCCAGATTAAACCAGAGCGGGGCCTGTAGCCATTTTTTGAGGGGCCTTTGGTTTGCTTGAGATTAAGCGTTTAATTGAAATAAAACAATAAATAAAAACAAAATTTTTACAAATAAGCGTCGGTTCGAGTCCCATCTCAGAGTACATGGACAAGTGGATTTTTTAAGCATTTTTCATTATATATTACATATTTCGATCGCTGCCGTGCTTCAGAGAGCACGTAAGTTTCGTCTCGGCTGCAGTTGCAGTCTTTTAACACCCACTTATCCGCTTTGGTTTATCGTGGTGGATTATTCTACCAATTTGATTTGATTCCATCTGTAGAGAAGCTTTTAGACCGAGAGGTGGGGACATTAATAATCTGGTGATTGGGATGAACCTCTAATGCTATGACAGCGATGCGTTTGACGCTGTATATTTTAAAGATGGACCAAAAGTTTTAACATAACAATGCTCAAAACACTTTGTAATATCCCTAACAGCTTTTAGTCGAGAATTTATTCCGGTTTTTAATTAATATCAAAACTCTTATTACTGCAATGAAAAATGTTAAATTATACAAATTATGAAAGGGAATTTTCTGGCACACCGACTGTAATTAAAAATTTTGGTTATGTCAGATCCAGTTGCTAAAGGTCTGATGAAGGTTGCGTTGTCTCTGGATTCCTTTAGGTACGATAAAGTTTTTGTGAGTTAATACATTTAAATTATCTATACAAAATAAATTATCAAGAGTGGCTAATTACCTCTTGCATAATGTAAATCAGTATATTTAATTATTTGGTAAGACATTGGGTCAAAATGTTACTTTATAAAAAAGTTGACATAAAAAGATGAAATACAATTAATTATGTGTAACAAATAATATAGTTCAAACTTAAGTATCTACTTAAACTTCAAATTTTTTCGAATTCATGACTAACCTCAACTACAGAGGCAGAAGTATGACATGCGACCGTTCAAGGTAAGAAAAATTACTTAAAATATGTCATATTTAATTTCATATTTATATTACAGAGCATAGAATAACATCCTAGCAATATTATAAATGCGAAAGTTTGCGAAGATGTATGTATGTTAGTTTCACGCAAAATCTACTGAAAGGATTTTATTGAAATTTGATGTACGTATAATTCATAGACTGAATTAAAATTAAGGCTACTTTATGCCACTAAATAGTTTCCCAGGGAACTCGCGGGCGAAGTGATGGAAATCTAGTTAAAGCTATATCAATAAAAATAAGTTCAAAAACTTAATACTGATATCTAACGCTCAAAAAAGCTTAAAACAATTTATTTTATAGCGATGATCAAAGGCCAGTCGTTTGCCACAGCAACAGTTTGTTTTGTTATGACTAGTGTATAATTAAGCTAAATCGCCGCAAGAAAAAGATATCAATATATTTGAAATGTATTTATTTATGAAGCCCTTTCATTTGATAATGGAGGGTATTAAATGATTGAAAAAAATTTAGTTTCTTACTTAATGCTCTCTAGAGGGCGCTGTTGCCCCTTTTATGTAACGAGATGAGATGTGACGAGACGAGAGGAGACGAGACGAGAGGAGACGAGACGAGAGGAGACGAGACGAGAGGAGACGAGAGGAGACGAGACGAGAGGAGACGAGACGAGATGAGAGGAAACGAGATGAGACGAGATGAGACGAGACGAGACGAGATGAGATGTAATGTGATGAGATTAGTCCTGTACCGTTAGCGTAACACACACACACACACACACGCAGAGTTGATTAATCTGCGCCCTTCTGCGCCCACAGATTAGTGTTTAAATATATCGCTATAGTCAGTAATATATAAATAAAGTATCATTTTCTCCAATTTAAAGGATTGTCAATAAAACACATAAACGCTTTTAGAGTAAATTAGGGACGCTTGCTAAAAGTTTCGTTTTGTTCTTATTCGGAATTTCAATATATTTCTGGGAATATACCATTAGTTCCATGTATTTTATTCCTACTGTATGAATAAAGAAAATAATCAAATAAAACGTAGGTCGATTCTCGGAAAAACTTAATTTTATCTCTCATTTTTCTAGACTAGTACAGATACAAATATATACAAACTTACTCACATTCACTACATACACACCCAGCTATACCACCGTATATACCTATTGGCATATACGGCGCCGGGACCTCGGTAGAATCGCAGCCGCGGTGCGGTGAGAGAAGTTGTGCATGTCGATGACCGGGTTGGCTCACCTTGCCCGCTCTCTGAGTTGTGGAGGGGTGGGACTGGGCTGAACACCGACGGGCGCTTTGACCTACGAGGGACTCAGCTTAAGTGGGTTCTTCCAACTGGACGGGTCAGCACTGTAGATTTTTCCGAAGCGTATCTTCGGTATTTAAACGGGACCGGCCTGGTTGGTTTGCACGTTAACTGGGCATTGCACACTGTCTGGGGGGGTATGACTCAAATATTCCTGAATCGTAGCCCCAACCGCAGAGGGACGCACTCTGCAAGGGGAGACCGAAATGTGCGGGAAGTGGTCTTCAGGCTGTTCCCGTGTATCGCCTTAAAATATCACTTATATTGTGAGAGAATTGAATGTTACACTCTGTAGTTCGGATACTTTAAAGCCACATAGTTTATAAAGAAATTTAAAATAGGTCTTAAAAAGAAAAAGGAAAACGACACAAATAAACGAGTGTGTCAATGAGATAGATAGGTATAGAGATGGCGCGAAAACTATTTTTAATTAATTGCTCGTAAAAGGGCTGATGATGATGATGATATTACTAAGATACTCTTTAAAGAATTAATGGCGTGTTCTTAGAAGGTGATATTAGGAGTCATAAAAATCAGCGATTATGTATGAAAAATGTAATGAAAGAGGACGAGGTGAAGGATTGTAGCGTGTACATTGTAGCGTTCGGTCCTCTCTGCCTATCCCGCCAGGGTACGGCGTGGAGATATAGATATATACTCCTTAAAGGCTGCAGTTACGAAGTGTTTTACAGGTTTGTCCATTTTCAAGTGAATTTGTAACTTTTATGTACACAGAAAAAAAATTTAATAAAAGTTCTTTTCTCATTGTTAATTACAGCTTATATAGTGTTATCTTTGTACAAAACCAATTTAAAGTTTTAGGTGCGCGCGCTCTCGAAGTATAAAGATTATTTATCTATCATCTTCTTCTATTAAGCTATTATACCTACACTTTGCAAAATTCCCGAAAAGTCGGACTAAATAAGCAAGTGGATTAGTGTGCCCAGATTACTGGAATACTGAAAAGGGGATTCGGTATGTCTAGCTAGTCTTACAGTCCACAAACAGTTTGTTCAGATTATGTTGACATTCCCATTTGCGGCGTTCGCACAGTTTTCTTGTATTATGATTGTTTTCACACCACCGTAATCGGATCTGGGTTAATTACGTTACCGAGCACGCACAGAATGGACGAAATATTCTATAATAATAAGTTTGTCATACGAAAGGCTTCTCTGTCCCAATTTGTGTTTAATTTACCCAGCTTCTGTGCAAATGGTTGTAACTTTTGTAATATCTCATCAACCAGGCTTAGTTATTTATGATGTATGGAACGACAAAATAAACAGTTCTCTCCTAAATTACTTGATTCATGTTTGTTTATATATAGCGCCTATTATCTAATTTATCTAGTCACTTATGAAGGTATTATTTGGTTTTAATGGGTTTGTTTTCTATTTGGTCCTCATATACAACTTTGTTTTAGTACTGATTTCTTATTAGCACGCGCACTACGTACCCTACACACTACAGTACCACCCCACTACAATATTTCAGATTAATCGTTAGGTAACTTCTAAGATAATGGTATCAAGTGAGAAGTGTTTATACTTAAGTGCTGAAGAGATTAGTTAACCACTATATTTTTCAATAGTAGTCATATATATTCGACTGAAGAATATAAATTCCGAATACATAAGATTTTTACTCGGATTTAAATAGTGGATCTTCTTAGGGGCACTGCCTTACTTTTAATTTAGTGATAGTTTCACGTTTTCAAATAGAAATAAATTCTCATTAATCCATTTAAGAAGGGTAGGGATTTGTAATTTCATTTAAGAAGTTGGTGGAAATGGTATTCTTCAACAAAACTTAATAAAATCGGAACTTAAGTCGTTGATTTACATCATATTAAAAAAAATCCGGCAATATTTATGAAATATTAACTCGGTAATATTTTTTTTGTGTGAATTCGAATGGGAA